TTGATTTGATGGAATTTAAGAATTTCTTGGCCTGTCTATTTTATTATGGTATTGTTAAGGCCCCTTAGCCGTAACATCTGCAAAGAGATATAAGCTTTTTTTCTTCTGGGTAATGTTTATTCAACATTTCTAGGTATTGGTGAAGTACTTGCAGCCTTCATTGTGTAAACCCTGAGATAGAGGACAAAAGTGATCCATTAGAAAAATAAAGGAATTCTATACCATATGGAAGTCGCTGTAAAGACTTATGGGTCTCCACACATGGCAACCATGGTCCTGGGACATGTAGCTTTGACCTATTCCTTGACCATACACAGCATAAATGTTTGAGTTTTCAATTATGGTTCCCATCAGATCAAAAGAAAAAAAAAGCAAGAAAAAGTCTAAGGCTCTACAAGGGGCACTGCCTCTCGCCCAAACTACTTTTGGGCCAACACTGCTTACATTATGTGGTGGAAGCCATTTCTGTTCCCTATCACCTGTGTAGCCTAGAGACTCTGCCAAACTACAATCACTATCCTGATACTCCTCTTCACTAACTTCTGACTCGTCATGGATCTCATCGACTACTACAGCTCCGTCCAACTCATCGTCCAACTCAACTGGATGTCCTGAACCAGCCAGACTCTGCCTAAAACAAAGATATAGAAAATAAGCAAAGACAAGATGATTTATAATTTGGTAATTTCTGCAGCAGTGCAACAAATAGTAAAGAAATCTAAGTGAATCTGTTCAGAGCCACCATATACAAAATCAGATGATTTGTTTATCACGGGCCTAAAATTTCTTGAAAACCACTCCCAAAAAAAACAAAAATTTTTGGCCGTACTTAGTTAGCCATTATTCTAAGATTTTCACTACAGCTTCAGAAATGGTTCTTCTTTATCGCTAATGTTTCCAAAAGTTTGAAGGAAACAATATGTAAACTTACGATCCACTCTCATTCGAAGTTTGAGGATTTTCTTCTCTTTGTCGCTTCCTGCGGGGCTTCCTTCGTCTTGGTTCGTCCACTCTTTCCGTCAGCGGTGCTACAAACCGAATTTCTACCTCTCTACCACTTAATAAGGCACAGTCGATCTCAAATTCATCTTCTGAGTCAAGTCCGTACCATTATCCATTTTAAAATCAATTTTGAAAAACACGCCTCATTCACGACATACGCAACAAGATCAGTCAAGATGGCGGTTACAGGCCCATGTTGTCTGGGATATTTATACGAAAGAAGCGCATAAATTAATAAAATAAGTATAATTTTCTAACTGTCCAATCATATTTGAGCAATTTTAGCATAAGTTAAGGAGGGTATGTTGCCTTGGAGCTCCAAAATAAAATATTTTCAGCTAGGGTATCGGTCACGTGGTCTTATCCAGATGTACATCTGGATAAGGAATTGAAGGGTTAAATCTGATGTAGAATAATTGGGATACAAAGTCAAATGCAGTCATTCAATTACCTTTTTGGTGTTTATATTTTGCAACTTTTGTTAAGGTACAATGATAATTAATTTAAACCCCTCCCAAATCCGAGAACGTCAGCATGAATTGGCCAAACAGTAGCAGTCCTCTGGATTAAAACACTACAAAAGTTGCATCAAGCAGACTATATCTCTATTGGTAATGCGTGAAGCAGAATTACTAGATTTACCTTGGCCGGTCACTCCTAGAAAACACAATAACCAGCATAATATTTATAGTGTCTTTGAATGAGGGGCTGAGACCCATGATGTAGAGAAATCCAAGAGAATTACCTTTTCTGTATTTGTGATCTATCTCTGTCACATGCTACTATCAATATCATTTAAACATCTAAATGTCAATCAAACAGTTCAATGTCATCGCTCAGACATCATATCCCTCTCTAACTTTGGGAATAAAATCTTCCTTCAATAAATAATAATTTTAAAAGTTAACTTCAAAAATACGATCAATAATATAAGCAGTTTATTTAATCAAATCATTAACTGAAACATTCAATCACATCAATTGTTGCAATGTTTGAATTTTGTGAACTATAATCACTCATTTTGTCCATACCTCTGAACTCTTTGTCTTACCTGATATCTTCTGTTTTTAGCAAGATCCACTGTATCAGGTACAACAAATGGATATAACTCTTTTAATTCGCTAATTAGGGCCCTTTTGTCGTTGACAGTAGCTATCCTGTGCTGGTTAAATTTAACTGGATGAACAAGATCGATTCCCACTTGAACTTTATTAGATTTTCAAACCTCCATTGAATCTGCTTTGAACATTCTTGCGTAAGGTTTGCAGCAACTTTCTGCAGAGATTGCCGCCAGCTCTCCAAACTATCCATTTTTTGCTCTACTCCCCTCCACTTCCTCTAGTGCGAATATATGGCAGAGATGGATCCATGCTTAATGCATCTGCCCATGTCTGACTCGAGTCATACAACTGTAGGACCTGCTGGTAGTGGTCAAGCATAGAAGCAAGTTGGATAGCGTCAAAAGATGGATTTTGCATTAACTTTATGATTGGTGTACAGTAATGAAATAATTTTCTGTACAGTTTCAGTAAAAAGATGAAATCAATTTCTTGAATCTGTTTGCAAAGGCGCCTTGCATTAGCCTGGTTTTCAGCTTTCTGGGTGGTATCAGTTGAAAACTCATATAAAGCATTGCCGATTGTCTCATACCATACATCTAGTATTGTCACTGCAGTATCGTAAGAAAGCCATCTTGTTTTTCCTGGTTTTGGCAAGCAGTGCCCAAGAACCAATGTTCGTTTTTGGCTAGATATAAAAAAAGTTATCAATTTGTCAACTGTGCTGAAAAATTCTGCGATCTTGGGGATTTTACCTGCAGTTTTAGATGCGCAGAGTGCCATTCTGTGCCAGTGCATATTATAACTATGCAGTTCTGATGATATATGGATGGAAACTTGTCCTACATTTGTCTTTGCACCCTGCTGAACTGGCCTGGCCACTCATTACTACAGTCCCTTCATAGGACTGTCCTTTAAGCTTCTCTGCTCATGTTTTTGAGGTAAAATTGAATGAGCTTAGGGTGTCCAGGAGAATTTTAGTTAAACCATCTGCTGATGTATCTTTGGAGACATCAACCAGACCAAGCCTATGTTCTTCTACATTACTATTATCAACAAGTCTAACTGAAATTGCTGACTGCTCAACATTGCTTGAATCACTTGTGTCGTCCATCATAACAGCAATGTAGGGTGAATTTACCATGCTGTTCACTTGAAGGTTGTTGGCATGCTTTCCATAACATTTGTACAGGACATGTAAATTATTTGAGTTTTAAATTTGATTAGAGTACTAAAGGAACAAGCAAGATAGAAAAAACTGTTAGGGTGTTTTCTTCCTTTATTGAAATATGGCATGTTAAAAATTGCCCAAAATTAGCATTTTCATGCAACAATCGAAGTAAGATATTCTCTCTCTTTTAAGCAATGATAATTCACTAAATCTAAAGAAAACAGTGTTGTGCATCTTTTAAAGCTCTGACTTCAACATCTTACAGATATATGATTCAAAAAGGTCATATTCACTGAGTGTCAATTGATATCAATGCAACAAACTTTCAATTATTTGACAAATTATGTACATTAAAATCTACAAAATGCTCAATTATATACATATTGTCTACAGTTCTATTTCAAGAGCATCTTTTGGTTCAAAGGTGTATTGCCTTCCAGTCATCGTTGATGGTTTTGGTGGTTGTACCTTTTTCAGAATGTTTGATGTTGGCACCCAACATACGTCAACACGCCTTGGCCACATAAATGATACACATGGCAAATGTGGATGCAAAAATTTTATGGCAACATCTTTATTCTCACTTCTGACTTCAATAGTCACTCCAACCCAGCAATGTGTATCATACCTGCACACAAGATAATCCCCGATTTCAATATCGTCATGAGGTTAAATGACAGCTAGATTGAAATCAAACTTGACATCAAATTCAGGGGTTTCTGATATTGTTTTTGCTCCAATCAATGCTTTGGATTGCGGTACAAATTGATGGAACCCCCTAGTTCCTGGAATCGTTTTTGCAGCTGTCAGGCGTTTCTCAAGATCTTTTCTTGTCAAGTTGTTTTCCTCCTTTGTAATGTAATAGAAGTTTCCTTTGACTTCTGTTTTACAAAATTGAAATAATGCCTCAACAGAAATAATTTGGTTTTTCATTGGTCGTTGCAGGCTGACTTGAGCAGCTAAACGCTTAACTGTACCTCGAATCCCATCACATGGGGATTTACCATGGCTGGTGGCGAAGAAATTCCACTCACAACTAATTGTAAAGTCTTCCTTATGGTGGCACAAGTTTAAAAAATTCTTGCAGTTCTTATACTGGCCTGCACAACCATCAGAAAAGTAATGGACAACCTTTATGTCCATTGATATCATTTCCCTGATATGATGTGCAGTGCCTTTCAACACATTATACACGAAATGCACATCATGTTCCAGGTCATCGGATAAAAAGCATAATGATGTTGATCCAATGACTCCATTATTTTCTTTGTAGTAAATGACTACCGGATGTAATGTGCATTGCTTCTGGTTCCAGTGATAGCCCTGGACCTCATCTTGGATCACAAATTGAAAGTTTTCTGCAAAGTCCAGTAAAACAATAACTTTGTCCTTATTCAAAGTTTCTTCTAACCTCTTCAAATAAGAAGCTTGCGACTTTGCAATAAACGAATGGCTGGTTATTTGATCTAGCTGGCAACACAACTTATCAATAAAATCAGGAACTGGGAGAGTTTGGGAAACCAGTTCAGCTCTGTCCACAGTTGTCCACTGCTGGAAAGTGACTGTATCTTCAGTAAAATCATCTTCATCTTCAACCTCCTTGCCTTCTTCAAATGTTGTTGATTCTGTGAAGATATTGCGTAAGCAATCTTCAACATTTTCAATTCCAGGACATCGTGCACATCTGTGAATCATGCATCCTCTGGAAGTACTGTCACAGACTACCATATCAATCAGGTCATGGTACTGGTGTCCTAAATTTGCAGCATCAAGAAGAAGCTTCAGATTCTGATGAGAAGTGCAGACACACACAGAATGTGTCCCCTTGGGACCAACTGGGATGCACCATTTTGGTCTTAAGCTTGCAAACTTGGAAAACCCAATACAGAAAGCAGGATTATCAGCCTTGAACAAGGAATATAGCTCTTTTATGTTGCATAAAAGAAGTCGCTTTTGCATATGTCTTTTTTGTCCAAGGCTCACAAAATCTTTCTTTCCTGGAAGTTGTCGGCTGTTTTCATCGCTGCAATAAAAAGATTGAACAGCATTTAACAACACCTCTTTAATTTTCTTGCCAGTCACTTTGTCTGGCATACCAAGAATCCCTTTCTCTTCTTTTATTTCTCTTGCCTTCCTGACCATGCAAACAGGTACTTGAAATATGTTTGAAGCCTTCCGTACTGACCAAGAATTAGGAATCAGTGTTAGAATTTGGATTTTCTCCCGTCGACATGAAACCTCCAATTTTTCTTTCATGAGACTGACCAAAAAGTCTAAGTCGCTGGCTTTCTGGATAAATTCCTCGATCTGCTCTTTCCCTTCATCTGACTCCTCTAAATCATCTGGTTCCACATTTAGTATTGCTGCAACCTTCTTTGAAGCGGCTTCATTTATCTGTCGCAACTTTCTTTTCCCTCGCTTAAGTTTTGATGATTTTGGCAGAGAATGCACTTTCATCGGTGAAACATCAAGAGTAGTTAGCGTTTTATGCAACAACTCCCTCTCTTCTTCAATGTGTCTTGCTCTAACTTTTCAATCAACTTGTTGTCCTCTGCCATTGGTGAATTCTGCTTTCCCTCTACTTCCAGTTTCAGGTCATTAATTTCCTTTAAACAAGAGGGACATAGTTTGTCTCCAGGAACAATCATAAAACCAATTGTGACCATGTACTGTGCCAGTGACAACTTTACTTCTTTCAATCCACCTAAGAATAAAAAATGCATTTTGAAATAAATATACAAGCTTCAGTTTCGAAAATTTTTATTTATACAAAAATAAAATATATATATTTAAGAAAAATCATTAGCCTGATCCAGTCATCAAACAAAAATCTTCACAAAAACTACACCACATTTGTAACTCATTAAAACCATTATTTAACGAAATTTTACCAGTATTTTAAAAGAGATTATGTACAGCAGGATTTTTATTAAAAATAAAAAAAATTGAATGTGAATTTGAAATATTTCTACAAACCTTTCACAGGCTTTCTGTGTTTTTTGAATGGGTCAGCGCAACGAGTAAAGTTCATTTGGAATCTTGTAGTCAGCATATATTCATGGTGGTAGCATATATTTGCATTAACATTCAAAATGGACAATTCGGACCTCCAAAATATCAGTTCTCTGACATTTTTCGGCAGAGATTCAATGGTTTTAAGACCAGTTGTTCTACTGTAGGTTAACAAATGACAGGCATCTCCCAATGAGTTTCCAATTGAACAAGAGTTACCAATATGAGTTGCCATAAGGAGCAGTAGTCTAACAGGGCAATAGTAAACTGAAAAATGACCAACATCCCTCTCATTGGGTTTTTTAACTTGTTTTCTTCACAATGATAATTATGATGTAATTCCTGTGTCTTTGAAACTATTTTAAATTCTTGTGAAATGCTTACATAAATAATTCAAAGAGGTGACAATTAATAAAAAAAGCATTGCAATGAAACTATTTTAAATTCTTGTGAAATGCTTACTTAAATAATTCAAAGAGGTGACAATTAATAAAAAAAAGCATTGCAAACATTAACACTGGACTTTTCAATTTCACATTGTAGTTGCAGGATCTTTAAAAGGAAAACTTTTTGTATTGCAGACAATGTAGTTTTGACACACCCTAGAAAGATGTGAAAATTACAAAATAGATCTTAAGAGGATTATCAAGGAGCAGCAATAGCTGTCTTAGCAATACAATCTCTAAGGAATTTCACTTGAATTGAATCCAATAGCAGACCAATGGCAGGATTGAAAAATAAAAGAATTTCCTAAATATTATAGACAGTTTTATAGCTAATATAAATTCTTTGAATTAGATTTGAAAGAGAAAATTAGCAAAATCAAAATGAGCAAATAGGAAATGTCATCAAATCAAGGGCAAAATTTTTTTAACTACACCTGACTTGACGAGCTCAAACAATTAATATACATCATCAGTATATCATGTAAATCAGTGCAATATGTATCTTTTCCTATCCAAGACTGGCAAATCTCTATCAGCGTTAGCAAAATGTAAACTTGAAGCTAAATAATGAAAGTATATTAAAAGCAAGCTGAATTAAAGATAGAAAAACAAAACAAGCATACAGAAGATTTCCAAACAGAGAATTTCAGTATTGATTTAGATTTAGTGAATTATCATTGCTTAAAAGAGAGAGAATATCTTACTTTGATTGTTGCATGAAAATGCTAATTTTGGGCAATTTTTAACATGCCATATTTCAATAAAGGAAGAAAACACCCTAACAGTTTTTTTCTATCTTACTTGTTCCTTTAGTACTCTAATCAAATTTAAAAACTCAAATAATTCCAACTTAAGCAACATGATGAAATTCACACCATTATCCTCACCGGCTGTTGCCATGGCAACAAATTCCCCTTCTTTTTCTATATTTAGAATGACTTTTGTTTGTGACTGGAAATTTTTGATCATGTTTTTGACATCTACATAGTTGATTAGCTTGTCTGGTTTATTTTCATTTTAAATGTATCATTTCTTCATTGGTTCTAATTTAAGTAAATAGTAGCAAAAATTCAAAGTGGCAGATCATTGAATAATGTGCCAAAATTATTAAAATTTCAAACCCGTCTAACTTTTTAATAGTAAAAGATATGAAGATGAAATTTTCAGTTTATGTTTATGTCATGGTTTTCAACATGTCGACCAAAAATCATCAAAATCTGAGGTGGTGGGTTATGTGACTGTTTCACATTGACATGGAATGACCCCTTGATGATATTTTCGAAGAAAAATCTAATGATATAATCCGCAAAATTTCGTGCAAGTTAAGACTCCTCAAAACCTGCAAAACCCGATAATAGTAGAGAAAAGACAGCGATTATTAAAGTGGATGGGCAAACTAGGCCTTCCCATTCTAAAAAATGCATGCACTCATCACGTGGCCACAGTGGAAGAAAAAGCAAAAGAAAATTTAACAGGTCTGGGAAAGTTTGCTCCAATGAGGGCATAAAAGTACCTCGTGGATGTTCATGGCACTTAACATCATCTTTCAGTCCCGATATAACAGAAACTGATCTCTCTGTCTTTAAAATTGGGTCTGTCACCAAAATAAGTCTGCCGTAGAAATACAGTCAGCCAGGACTGACTAATCATAACGACATCAATATGTTTGACGGAATCAATTCCTGCTGTGTCATTTCCGCGATTGCCTGTCTTCATTGGTTGAATGATTCTTTTTTGATGGTCAATGATAACCACGAAAGTCTTGCCAGACAATACATAAGAATTATCAATGGAGGCAATGCTCTTTATAGAATATTACCAAAAATAGACGGGAACTAAAACATGTATGTTGAAGACATCATACAACTCGGTCACCTTGGTTTGTATATGTCCGAGCCACGGAAGGCTGTGATGGACTTGCAAGATCTGTTAGGCAAATAGAGAGGTTATCATCACAAAAGAGAAAGGTTGCGATTGTTTTGATAATACACCCTGATAAAGCGATGGCCATCATTATAAAAAATAAAAACAATTACCTTTTTGACAGCCATTTTCATTACATGAAAGACAGACACCATTATAGCTTGTGCCCCAGTCGCTTGCCTTGAGAAATTTTGCACATTTGTTGAAAAGTTTCTTAAAAAGTACTTTAACGCATGTACCAAAGCTTCGAATTTGCTCCCACTTGAAATGATTGAGAATTTAGTTTCAGTATAATTTTGTGTTCTAGCAAAAGCTAGATTTTTAATAAGTTGACATTTTTTCTTGCGGCAATGTTGCCTGTTATTCACTTCAACTACAATCAACGAGGAAGAATTCATAAGATAAAACTGCTGGCTAAAGTCCTCTGCCCTGCCAAAATAGGCAATAAATTCACAATGAAAGAAAGTTACCATGTAAAACCTTATAGTTTTGCAAAGTCGGCAGTGATAATTTCATATTGTAGCAAAAGCTAGATTTTTAGTTAGTTGACATTTTTTCTCGCGGCAATTTTGCTTGTTATTCACTTCCACTACAATCCAGGAGGTGGAATTGTAGTGACTTCCATTTCGTGTCATTGCTTTTATTTAGAAAAGAAGGTATAGATAGATGATAGAAATCGATACTTTTACTGATAGATAGCTACTCCTTTATCTTTTCGAACTTTTTTTAATGCTAGTCTCTTCCCCACACCTAACCTGTTCTTGACATTTTCTGATTCAACCACTGACCTCGTGTTTCCATGAATGTGGAGTGTTTGCGCCTGCAATCCCGTGCTGCCATGACCAGCATCACGCATTTTCCCATTTACGCCACTATTAAGATATACACGCAGAAAATAAATCCTGTTTGCAACATTTTTCAATCTCGTTGGCTAAACATGATAGTTTCTGAAAGCCTTTTTAAAGAGTTTTTCATCGCTAAATATGTATTCAAGTAAACATTGTGTATGCTGTATAGTATTGGTACATGTATAATTTTTACAAAATATAATCATATACTATACATACAGGGTAGGTTTAACATTGTGTATGTTCTAAAGTATTGGAACATATATAATTTTTACAAAAAAGCATTGTTTCCTATGCATACAGAATAGATGTAACATGGCTAAAACAAAGATAGATAAATGTATAGAAAGTTTATAGATATATACAGAAGTACTTCATTTGTTATCATTAGGTTCAACTCAAATTGGCAAAAAGTTTGTAAGTAGACAGCAAACAGTGACAATCTGATTAGCCGTTGAATGCAATGATAATGGAAGGACATCATCCAGGATATGGTAATTGTTCACTCTTCCAATGGCACGCTCCACATGAATGTGTACAGAAGCAATGCGAGCAGTTTCTTCAGTCTCATTCATTCTGAGTTGTGCTTGTGAACCCTTAAAAGGTGGGATGTTTAGAGGCACACCAGGAGGAAGAATATCTTTGAAATTAAAGCCACAGTCAGCCATAAGATTGTCACCATCCTCAAGAAGTGCTAGAACGCCTGACTTTGGAGTGATTTCTTTATCAGAGACCTTACCTGACCACAACTTTGACATAAAGGTAATTAGGCCAGAAGGTGATATGCCAATCAAAACTTTCCATTTATTTTGGTGCTTGTATTCAGACCATGTTTGTGACTGTGCTTTCATAGATGATGGAACTTCTGCAAATATTTCTGTGCAATCAATTATTATTAATCTTGTTGTTGGGAAGTCTTTAAATTGAGCAGGCATGGCTTGACGAACAACCTCTTGAGAAAGGGGTTTGAAAAGCAGTATCAGTTCATGGTAGAGAAAACAAATCAATGTTGTAAAGATTTTTGAAACCTGACTTGAAGAAATTTCAAAATGATCAGCTAAATCATCAACGAACAAAGCAACTTTCAGTTGCATTTGCATAACTTTGGGTTCCAAGTTTTCAAATGTTGACATCAGTGTTGGAAAGTTTGTAAAACCAGTGTAAAACCTTGCTGCAGAACTATCAGACTTTAACTTTTCAATGAAGAAATAGACAGTTTAACTTGAGCAAGGTGCAACTCCACCGGTTCCAATGATTTTCTAATTCAATTCTTTTGGCTGATAGATCTTGACTTTCAGTTAGCAGAGTGTCACTTTTGATGAATGATTCCATTATATCATTTTCCATCTTTTCAAAATCAATTGGAAGGTATTTTGGGGAATTAACAAAAGAGAAATCAGTTTGCGTTGATATTGATACAGTTAAAAATTATAAAATTGGCATTTGTCTTCATATGACCTTTAAGCCACTTAGGTATCTTTTGAAACCCTTTAAAGTTTGAATCATTCACTCACTTTTTCTTCTCAAATCTTGTTAAGGGATCGGTTTAAAGAGTATTTTTGTGCTTTGCTAATTTTAATAAAATGATTTTATAGTGTATGATGAAAGCTGATATGTATTGAAAATATTGTGTTTGTGCTGACCAGAATACAAACCTTCTTGATTTTTTGAACAGGAAAAGTTAAGGGCGGTGAAAGAGATTGAGAACCAGAAGCCATTGCCAGAAACACTAAACGTCATTTTATTTCAAGCTGAGATCGAAGCTTTCATTGAAATTCTTTTTAAAAGTTGTGCAACTCAATCACAAATATTTGTAGAGTACATGAGGGACATATCTAATTTACTTTCAATATTGAGTTTACAAATGGATTTTCTAAGGCATCTCTAAGTTAAGTCCCTGTCTTTCAAAGGCAAGAAAAGGTCTAGCTTTCAGAGGTGATAGCATAGAGAATTGTTATTTCTTCCAGCTTCTCAAACTGAGGGCACCACATTCACAAACATTGAAATGCTGGTTAGATGAAAAATATTCAAGACTTTTTCATGTCAGCTATTGTAGTCCCAAAACATTTTTATCCAGTTACTTACTGACAAAAATTTCAAAGATTGCCTGTTATGTACTGTATGTTTTGTAAGCTCTAAATAAGGAGGCAGAAAAAAGCCTGATAAAAGTAAAAGAGCTCAAAGATAAGAATGGTTTAGGGCATGCAAAGGCTGTATTGGCAACAATAGATACCTCTGTCCTTAACAAATTGTGATTACATTGTATTTCAATCTAAAACTTTGCTGCAACGATGTCTGGAGAACGCAAAGGAGCACAAGCAACGCTTTTCAAAGAACTGAAGAGATGCAAGATGTGGAAGATTTAAGCAAATTATGTCCAGCTTATTTGATGCCAAATGCAAGAAGTCTTTTTGCTGGTGTAGTGATTCCATTCATTCTGATTTTTAATTTGTTTATTTTACCTACAGGAATTTCTTCACTGCATTCCACGAACATATCACTATGTCAACATTTCCTGTCTTTTGTTTAGGCCCTCATTAATCCTACAAATCTACCTACACCTCAATTCATAAAACATATACACTCGGCCTAGCCCTTCCTTTCCCACGCCACCTTATTTATTTTACGTACATAACCACCTCTTATGTATATACTTTTCAAATAGATTTTCAGTAAGTTAGTTTTCATTTGGCTGGAGAAAGGAGGCACAAAAACTCATTATATTTGTTTTATATTGTGGCGATGGCCTAAGGCAGCGTAAACCAAAAATCAAGATTATAAAGATAAAGATAGGTGAGATTGTACAATTACAACTTACTTATTAATAGTTCATTATTCATGCACATCCAAAATTTGATCTATTAAACTGGAATGGAGAGTTGGAATACATAAATTGCTTTGATAAAACTGCTGAAAAGACAGAAAATATAGCAGGAGCAGCAGCAGAAGTGTTTGGCCTAAGGAAAGTGTTACCTGTAACAAATCGGGCATACGCACTTTGGATTCAAAAAAATTCTTCTGAATCTTTGAGCAGTCAAAACGAAATTTCTAGCTGCAATGAGAAAGATGGGGCAGATGAAAGAGTAAATTTAAAAGAAAAAGAGAAGCCCTTTCAACAGTATCACAAGGAAGGCGAAATGCAAATCAATCAAGTATATAACTCATTTCAGAAGCAGATGGTCTCAATTATTAAATAAGATTCTATGTTAAAAAGAGAAGATATTGAGCTAAGCAGAAAACTAATCAATCAATTTGAGCCACTGCTCCAATGTAGGAGTTTAACAATAATTCAAACAGTCAAACATGTTTCAAGACAATATAAAGGAACCCTTTAAATTATATTATCTCTAGCATTTTGGTAAATGCTTAAGTATCTGCATCCCTAAAAACTGGTTTAGGAAATAAATATTTTCAACAAAGAAGTGGTGATGTTTTGTATTGAAAATGTTATAACTAAGCATTGACTTTACCAAAAATCTGATTCAAAAAGGTCCCTCAGAAGCACCAATTAAACATCAGAATATTAATAATTATTGATATGAACTTTTTTGGTGATGGAATGGTCTAAGAGAACAGTGATTAATCTTGAACTGTTAAAAAAACTGAAGAACTAACATTATAACTAGAGCTAACTACACAACTGCATCAATCAGTAATAAAAAAAACATGAGAAAGAATGCTATAATGTCATACTGTGTTGAGAATTTTAAGAAAGTATAAAAAGAAAGCACTTCCTTTATTCATCCATTCTAAATTCGCTTCTCTGTCAAAAGTGTTTTATGTCATCCTTGAACGTCGTATTCACCCAGAGTTTATGCAGAATGTTGGCTTAAAACGCCAACAAGAACTGAACAATCAAAATTATAAGGAACAAAATATGTGTAAATCTAAGGCAAATGTAGAACTTCTGGAAGGCCTTGTTATAAAATGTATTGAGTTGCATACAAAAATTGCTATCTTTAAAGAAAAACCTTGGTTTTGTTTTTTTTTTGTAAAATATATTACACATGTTAGAAAGAGATTCACTTAAAATATAAAGAAATGCAGTAGTTTCTCATGTCCCCTTAACTTTAGCTGTTAAAACACACACACCCATACTCATCTGAAGAATTGTTTGAAGTGTAAAAATGCTTCCAAGCAGTTGAGCAATTGCTTCTATTCTGCAAAGGCAACTAAAATTCTGGCATACTACACAACATGTTCGATCTGAGTCATCAGTTACAAGATCTTTGTGCAGCTCACAAAAATTATTTAGGATGAAACAGCTGTAGATGACTGACATTTGATAAAAAAATTTTACATATTGCCGTTTCAAAATTATAATGCCCTTTTCATTATTATAATGCCAGATATAGAAGAAAATGATGATGGTGATGTAGAGTTTGATTTGACCAAAGGCAGAGCAAGCGAAAGCTTAGATTCAAGCTTAATTGATACGGAGGTGAGCCCCATGAAACTGCATGCTGTAGCTTCAAACTAGAAGGTTGCATATGGAAAGAGAAAGCTGAGACAAGTGAATGAAAAATTCAAGGGGAAGGAATCTTGTTTGCAAAAAGGAATAACAGAAGTTGTCAATGTAACACTGGAAGATTTAACAGCAAAAAAGGTCAAGGACAATTTTGAAGTCCTTAAATAGAAGGCTGATGATCTCGATGTTCTTGTCCAGCTGATGAAAGAGAAAACAAAAGTCCCAGAAAGGTGAAGAGAAACCCATATACTGACAACGGTACCCTGCTCTTGGTCTAGCCAGAGAACATAAGATGAATTCCAGGTTTCGCAATACCTCATCAGGCAGGCTAGAAAGCTTGCCCAAGGAAGGGGTATACTAGAAGTGCCTTTTCCCAATCTTGGCAAACCAATAAGTGATTATGTTAAAGAAACCGTGTTGAATTTTTTTTTAAAAGATGATGTGTTCAGCAGACAAATGCCTGGCAAGAAAGACGGTGTAAGCATTGGGAAAACATTCTTCAGCAAAATAGGCTGCTGCTGTGTTATTTAACTCAGCTCTATGTTGCCTTCAAGAAACAACATCCAGAATTAAAAAACCGCTTTTCAAAATTTTGCAGTCTACAACCAAAATGGTGCATCTTAGTTGGGCGTTCAGGTACCAAGTCTGTTTGTGTCTGTGCAATACATGAAAATGTTTCATTGATGCTGAATGGAGTTGACTTGGAAAAGGAATATCATAAACTGGCGAGCTTGCTTGTATGTGATACAAACTCGAAGGAATGTATGCATCACAGATGTTCTAATTGCCCAGACACTTCAAATCCAACCACATACTTCACAAATTCACTTATTGATATTGAATGGTCATGATGATAAGTGATGATAAGGAAATTGATGCAGATTATGAGATTCAGTTACAGCAGTGGATCAATGTTGACATGTCCCAGTTAGTTCAGCAGAGCACGTCAAAAAGTTCATTGAAAAGTTGAGTGAAATCACTACTCATTCATATATCACAAAAGCACAAGCTAGATATCTAAAAACATGTAAAGAGCAGCTTGAAGAAAACCAGACAAAAATATTCTTAGATTTTGCTGAAAACTTCATAGGTTTATCATTCAAGATGAGGTCCAGAGCTACCATTGGAGCCAGCAATCCTGCACACTGCACCCAGTTGCTCTCTACTACAGAAAGGGTGAAAAACTTGAATCCAGTTCTCTTTGCTATATATCTGATGACCTTGAACATGACACTAGCTTTGTTTATCAGATAAGTTAATTTTGCATTTAGGTCAAGTAGAATTATTTGATGCTTTGGTTTTGTAATTATCAAAAATTTGTGCCCTTAAAATGCAAGTTTTTTAACGTTCTTTGCTTGCCGATATGATTTTGCCATGAAAAGAGGGCCTTTCATGGCAACAAACAACAAGGCTACGGCTACAGCTTTTTCACTTTAAGCTGGTGGTCTTTTTATGCGTGCGGCTGGTTGTTGAAACCAAAGCCTACAGTCATAGTTGAAAGACTTGTTGTAGCCTCTCTGTGGCACCGCTTCAGAACTCTAGAGTTGGTAGACATTCTGATATTTCAAACGAAGTTCATTCTAGTCAAAATTCATCTAGAACGAATAAATGTCTAATTTTATTTAATCCTAAATTGTATAATATTATTTAAAACAAAGAAATTTGTTGAGAATTTTCACCCATTTGTCTCCATTAGATACATGGAAAATTGTCAAAGTTTCATAAGAGAACTGTCTGGAGAAATTTATTTGGCAGTCCTATGATGGACAACACTTTAACCTTCGCTTTGCGGCAGCAAGCGCGCGCACCTAACCCTACCAAAGCACCGGTCGACCCGAGTACCAAATTCTTGGGTCGGGTACAAAGTAGTAATGTATGAGGACTTAATCTGTAGAGGCAAGCATGCTCATGCAGTGCAGGTCTAAGTTTAGTAGTAAATACCCAATATCCCAGAAGCAAAAGGATAGCAAATCTTTGAAGAAGGGCAGTTAGCTAAAAAGTAATTGTTGAAGGCACAGACATAGATTAGAAAAATGACATCTTGCCCGGTGTAATCGAAGCTTGGAGAAAACACCCAAGCTTTGCCAAAAGTTTCCCTCAGTTGCATAGCATTAGATCAAAGTATAGAGAAGAAAAAAACCTCGCCTGTCGCTGTGTTGATATGTGCATCCCTTTGCATTATTGGAAAAGGAACTAGCTTACTTGTTTTTCCATTGCCCAGAGTTTGGCAGCCGTACAAGGAAGCTTCCCAATTACCAGTCGTGAGTTAGCTAGATTAGTTGTGTTTTTGGTTAAATAGCATGATTAGATTGATAGAGAAAAGCCATAAAAACCATTTTGAGTCCCAAAAATTACATTTCCTTCTTCTCCCAGATATTGTGTTTTTAACTGTTCTTACTCTTAAAAAGTCAAAATCGAAATTGCCGATATGAATTTTTTAGACCCATATTTGTTGCATACTAATTAAATTTTAAAAAAAACTGTTCGAAAGAAAAATGATTGGATATTTCAACTCAGTGTGCTAAGACTATGACAAAATACGATTATTGAAAGAAAAATTAGTTTAAGTGTTTTATTAATTGGAATCCATTGACCATTAATTTATAAAGTTCTTTTCCTTGAATATATTATTTATTATGCAAATTGGATGGCTCTATTTAATATCAAAATTATGCGAGTAAAATTTGGGCATAATAAGATCATTTGCTAAATGAATCACAGCTATTGATGAATTATTGGGCCAAAGATCATCAAAATTATCTTTGAAAGATCAAGAAGTTGTTTTTGCTGAATTTTTAGAAAATTATAATATATATAAGTAGGCAAATCTGTCTAATAACGATAGGGTGTTAACCAATACAGCCTTCACGTATTCATTTTAATTTTGTCCTCAGCCATACTATTATGTCTGTGCAACAAATTATGTACTATAGAGTATTCTAACTACATTAAGTTCAGTTTCGTTTAATGAAAAGCCAAAATACCCTTTACTGTTATGAAAGTTCCCTTGATATGTCTGAAAATTACGATTTACTTAAACGCTATTTTGTGTGAAATTTAATATGTACTGTTCCGAGAAAAGTTGTTCATTGTTCTTTTCTTTTGTGATTCTGAAAATAAGCGTCCTTAGATTGCTGAACATAATTACACTGGTACATTATGGTCGGATATTTTTTTTGAAATACTACGCAATGAACTTCCTGAAACATTGCTAAAGTTAGATGCGTTACTTATTATGTCACTTGGTTGGTTACCAATTTTGATTAATATACGTATATTCGGACAGGGTAGCTGATTTTTGGAAGACTTCCAGCGAGAAATGCCAAAAACAATCTGGAACTCACATTATAGGAATCATTTCGTGACCCATTTTGCTTACCCAAGGAAGCAAGGAGACTTATTCTCATGCCCATTATTTTATTCACCACCAGCAAGGGAGATAAAGAACTCTGCAAAAACATTTCTGGAAGAACCATCCAGGTTCTGTGAGTTAGGGTTAGCTGCGCTTAAAGCATGTTAGGTATAATTTCGGATATGTCCAAGGTGAGTCCTAACCATATGGACTTGATCCAATGAAACCAACTTTATCCGAAGGTTTGCGATGTCCTAGTAAGAATTGCGACAACTTCTTTTACTACTGCTGGCCTAATTCACCCCATTTCTTATGGGCAAAAAGAAGCATTGCCATAGAGAAACAAATCAAGAAGAAACCTTAGAAAAAAAATGAATTACCGGCTTACCCATCACCTGGGGTATGAGGTAGCCTTTCGTTTAGTTAAAACCGCCGAAACTCTTTTCTGCACATAAACATATTGCAATGATCATTTTTGACAGTTTTAAATTAATGATTTATGAGACCTTTAATGTTTATTTAGATTCAGGTTCTTAATATTTCCAGAAGTAGATAACCGAGCAGTGAGCTTTAAGTTTCACTACTCCCTTCCTTTTTGTTCGCAACAGGATTAGGGTTAGTTAGGGTTAAGGTTAGTTAGGTAGGTGGTAACCATCCTCCCATCCCTCAACCATAACCCGACTTATGCTGCCTATAGGCTTCTGCCACTGTGGCGGTTGAAGACATTTGTCTATGCATTGCTAAGAGATTTATTATATCAAAATAATCCACTAGCCCTTTGTCCTCAACCATTAGTTATCGTACTAAGAAGGACGGTTCGTCCTCGTTTTGTGTAGATGTGTAAGTGAATGCCATAACATAAGGAAACCAAACTTGTTCCCTTGCCAATTTTTACATTGGGTTATTTGCCGGCGGTTTTCTTGACTTACAACTTTTCCTAGGTGGCTCAATTTGCGAAGGCACTTGGATAGAAGGGGTTCCTTCTTTTCTATAAGAACAAGGGAACTCCGCTTAGGATCATCTGCATAAATTATATCTCAATGTTAATATCATGATGCTGGGTACAACTTCTGGTGCATCAATTTGCGATGGGCACTTGGATAGAAGGGGGGTTTCCTTCCTTTCTATAAGAACAAGGGAATCGCTAGGATTCTCTGCATAAATTTTTATATCATGGTATATATTTGGTGGGTAACAACTTCTACGGTCGGCATCATTTGCGATGGGCCAACTTGGCATAGAAGGGTTTCCTTCTCTCTATAAGAACAAGGAATCGTAGGATTTCTGTTGATATAAATTTTTAACAATTACTAACCTTTGTTGTTGCTTGCGTACGCTTCCTAGTCTGCATCATTTTGCGATGGGCACTTGGATAGAAGGGTTTCCTTCTTTCTATATAAACAAATGCAGATGGTAGGGAGGTTAGGTAGCGGTCTAGAACGGGACTTAGCGGTTAGGTTAGGGTTTAGGCGTTAGGTTAGGGTTAGGGTTAAGGTTAGGTTAGGTAGGGTTAGACCCGTTGTAGGGTAGTACTTTAGGTTAGGTTAGCTTAGTTTAGGGTTTTAGTAGGTCTCCACCCGCCAAGTGAGTCAGGGTTAGTGATCTCAACGCCCACAGCGTTCTGTCACTGCCCCACATAGGGTGTGAGCTTTGGTCACACTACGACTACCCCCTCACGATTTTAAACCATTCACAGTCGATTACATGGTTGTCGCAAGCCCTATACCTGTAGCAGCGTCCTCGAATGCCGCCCGGGCAACCACCCCCGCACATGCCACAAGCATTCCCGGACAGGATATGATACGCGCGATTATGTCCGGAATGGACATAGCCGGCAGGATCGTCCGAGCGCCTTCCGCGTACCTTGAAACGAATGTGCGTGACCCGACTTGATTCCTCCGTGGCTGCGCCCCCTTTAATTTGGGAATTCGGACACAAAACCCCGTCAAAGTCAGAGACAGTACGGCCGTTTATACTCTACGCACATCCCCAGCGAGCTACTACGCAAGCCCACTCACAACGCATTTGCTCGATCTCTCTCCAACCATATCCACTTAACGGTAGCCAGGCCCTATCGGCGTTCCGATAATACAGGGCTATCCACAAATACAATCTGCTACCTGTCCCAGACCTTCTGCCCAAGGTTAGGGTTCAGGGTTAGGGATCTTCTAGGCAGTAAGTTTAGTTTAGGTTTAGGGTTAAAAACGTGTGTTCTTTACGAGGCCTCAATCTGCTGAACTGAAGGGTTAGGGTTAGGGTCCGGGCTTTATTCTACATTACTACCGATCGCGTTAGTGTTACGCCGGTCCGTAGTTTAAGGAGGCTTCAAAAGGGTATTAGTAGGTTAGGTGCCCTACTTAGGGTGAGAGCTTCGGAATACGCTCCCGGTTGAAGACGCCGTTCGGGAGCCTCCCGTCAAGCTCCCAACAACCAAAGTCAGTCTCACTGACTTTTTACGGCCGTTTGACCCGGATGCCGTGTTTGGGCCGTCCTTCGACACAAGGTGATCTTTGAGGTCTTGTTTCGCAGCCTCTCCGCCCTCATAATCCGCATCTGGTGCGCGGGATCCTACCTGCAGTGATGCCCTTTAGCTAAGCACTCTCGGTAGATATGAGATCTGCCATAGAGCCTCGTTTGACCAACGACTCACCCAGCGGTCCGACAGCGCTTAAGATCACTACAGATATACTAATGTCCAAGTAAGGGCTGCTATGGCGGGCTGTATCATATGACGTCCACTAACCTACTCCAGGCGTCAGACGTTGCCGCGAAAGAGCCCATTACTTTCTGAGGGGTGGTACACATCGAGATCCAGACCTGCAGTTGTTGACCTCGTCGACCAGCGTGCCGAATCACGATTGGGAAAGCCTCTTGAACGGCGTGTCGCACAATATACATTGTTGCCCTATCTTCTGTCATTTTTCCCTTCATTGTGACTCCCAGACTTGCGTTCGTTTGTTGTCTTGCTATGCCCATCCAAGTGATTGTTCTCACACTCTTCAGTAGCGTAATCTAACAGCTTGGATCGCCACGTTGAAACTAACCCTAAGTGGAACCTACCACACCAGCGGCTGTGGTTGAGGGTTATCAGTCGCACTCATTTAGCGGTATTTCTACTCTTTTAAAGTGCCGTGATATCGAGGTATTATTCGAGAACTATCGCTTAGCGATTGTAATCACCAATATTTGCTGTTGCGAGGTTGCTTCCAAGGGCCTAACCCCAAAGCGGGATAGGGTTTAGTTTAGGTTTCAGCAGGGGTTGAACACAGGTAACCGACATACTCTTGATCCTATTTCGACCTCACTCCAGTTCCATGTGACCCTGCCTACGTCACACCTTTCTTAGTTTCTCTGGAAGCTGTGTGTGATGCTACTCAATTACAGCTGGGCGAATGTTAGGGCG